CACAGCTAACACTTCAAGTTAAATGCAGTAGTTCAGGGTAGACTGACAAAGAAACAGTTTATTCGTATATTTTTAACTCTAATTTAATATGTATCATCCAATATATCGAAGACATGAAAACTTTCATGTGAAGTTTATCAGTGTTTTTCTAACCCGTAACAGTTTTAAAAAGGAAAACCGTCGACAATATCAATCTCATCAAAAATATGAAAATAGCTTCAACATTCAACACATCATACTGTGTGGTATGAGTGAAAATATATTCCAATCTGAGCGCCTCTGCGTGAGACTCCCTCTGTTTTTCTTACCTGGCTGTGATTACGATGCAGGACGCTGACATTGATCAGACTGTGGTGGCCACATTACGCCTAACCAGCCACAAATCTGGAGAGCAGTTAGACTCCAATTAACACAGGCCAACGGGATTTCCTCGGTTGCATCAAATGTCGCACGCAATGGCAATTACGAAGTAAATATTCAGAACATGCGATCAAGTTTGGGGACCTGTGTACTGGAACATCCTGTTTCAGGCCGTGCAGGCCACAGCATTTAAAGAAGTAAAATAAGTGCTTTATCTGTGTAACAACAGACACACAGATATATACGTTTTATCCTCAAGGCACAGAACATGTGAATATACAATAGGTACTTGTTATCATTACACTCTTTTCATTACTGTTTTCAAGACTTTTTAGACAAACTATATTATGACTTTGTCCATGACTTTTCTGGACACATTACTTTTTCATTACTTTTTTTGCCATACTATACTATGTATTCAAGCAATACAATATATCCACATTCATAATCACATACATGATGCACGATGATAAAATAAGAAGTCTGAACCCTCAGCAAGTTCAACGACCACTAAATTTAATACCGTTAAATCGACGTGCCTTATTCAAAGGAAGTCTGACAAGAGTGTTAAATACTTCACCATCTTGCTCCTCTATCCATCATCCCCCCCCTAAAGCATGTTCAATCAAACAATTGAAGTCATGAAGCATACCACAATATCCACGGTAATGTGATTACCAGCACACGTTGACTGGGAATCAATAGCTCAATGTAATAAAATAAAGAACTGAGAAAAAAGACCTCATGTCCTCTGACAGTTAGACTGTAAATCCCCAATCCAGCAAAAAAAGTGACCTGTCAGGTTTTAACCCACCACTCACCTCCAGGTCTTCATCATATCTTACAGGAGGAAAACTTTCTAATTAGCCTGTCATTTAACATGACAAATGTGGCACAAATGAGTGACCAAATTATTGATAGTGAGGGCGTTTTTTTAGTCTGGGGAAAAGTCCATTACACTGCCAGTTTTAGCACGGGCGACTCCCGCCACTGGTGTGGTACCTGTCCAAGAACAACTTGTCTGAGGTCGCTGCAGAGCCGGGGTCTGACACAGTGATTATAGGTGGTGCACTGGCTGAGGAAAGCTGCGGTTTTCGTGCTGAATATCTGAGAAATCCATTGTGAGCTTTAGCTTTTCTTAAGTAGCTTTTGACTGAATTATTTGCCGTAGGGAGGAAGCGAGCGAGGCCCCCGGTTTGTTACTAAGTGTTGTATCTCAGCCGGTGCTGTGTGGATAGGTCTGGGTGATGAGGATATATATTCACGTATGTGTTATGCAGTTTCTAAGTGTGTTCATTTGTTTGATCAGAGCATTTTGGAATAAGTCTACAAGAACTAACTATATTTGTTAAAATGGGAAATTTTATACAAAGATTCAGATGAGTGAAAGGATGGGATGAGTTGAGGTGATCGACGCTCTAGATGCCACTCACTTTGCTTCACGGCTAAGGGACCGTTGACGGGAAATATACCATAATCAACACTCAAATGGAGCCATTGTGTATGGCAACGCTTACCTGATGTGTACCAGCAGAGACCCTCCATGCAAATCTGTGTGATGGAGGAATTGAGATATGGGGAGCGCCTGTGGGTTTGGAAAAACTATATCTTTCTATCTGAAGAGCCATAATGTCAAGCATGTTACAGTCCATCAGCTGGATACCTGCCACAAATACCTTCTACCAAGTGGGCTCCAGGGAGTCATATCACAAACTTTGAGGTTCTTTTTTCCATCTCTTTTCAGACAGAACTGCCTTATGACATGCTACAGCAGACTCAAAAAGCATATACTGGAATGTAAGATCTTTGTGTGTGTGTGTGTGTGTGTGTGTGTGGTGGATGTGATGGTGGGCCGACATATGTGTGGCATGTTTCGGGGGAGAAATACGGTAAGCACGATGCGTGTACGGATTGTCATGACGTGTTTCGTGCTGCTTAAGACACATTGTAAACTCTATCAGTCACCCAATAAATCCAGCTGGAGGGAACACACAACACATGATATATGGCTGTTTAATAATTGTGAGCTGAGGTGGAGGTGTAGTGGACTGGACTGAGCCTGAATGGGGTGTATGGGTTCAGCGTTAGTGGGGGTGTAATCCATTGGGACTATACGCTACAGCTTGGAGAGTACCAGCCTACCTGGGGTAGACACAAGGCCCTAGTCACAAGGGGTTAATTGTAGGTGTTTAAAGAGCACATGTCATTAAAGAGCTGGTGCGTGGAAAGAGTTCTATTTATACATGGCAGAGGTAATGAGGTGAAATTATTCTGTCCGACAGAGATGGGATGTGACCACAGCAGGCTGGTGGAGACTCCCCTGCCCTGGCTCGGACTCCTGAGAGTGTTTTCAGTCCAAATACGGGCGCTGAAACGTAAGCTTGCTAATTAATCCCCATTTACATACTTCCAGCTGTGGTTTCCATCGCGCCCTACAACCCAGGCGCCCTGTCACAGCAGCAGGCGATTGATTGACTAATTAATGATTCCCCAGATGCAACAATTAAATTTAAATTAAGTTAATAGGCCTCAGACGGTATTATGCTATGGTAATGTTTTCATTTCTCATGTTTACATGATAACATATATAAACACAGGAATACATGGCAAGGAATCACACAAGCAACTTGAAGGCTTTTAGATATTTGTTTTAATCTGGAGCCCTGATAAGTTTGTAAGTTTGTATGTTATTGAGTGGAGTACACATCTGTAGCTATCTGCTTGACACCAACCTGTGTGCTTATAGCACTGTAGCCGCACTGTGACAAAGTAATGTGAGATTGATTAAGTACAAATATCCCTGGAGTGATTAAACAAGCTCTCCTTGCTCCACTAGAGGGAGCAACTCCATAGGGATCACACACATAAGATATGAATACATGGTTCTGTTTGATAACATGTAACAGCTATACATGATATCATTTGTAGGTATTAACAAAGAACGCATAGTTTTCTTTCAAATTCCCAGCATTGGCCACTCATCACAATAAGTTAAATAACATTGGTTGAATAAAATGTAATCCTACAGCATTGTCACATGTTCAATATATATACATATAGATATACTGTATAATAAAGAATGTAAAGCAATGTAATTCTACTGCACCTTACGTGATGGTTGCTTTTCGGATGCTTTTTTTGGCTCTACTATTTAATTAATTGAAAAAACAACACACATGTTGTGTACTTTACTGGTCAGTAAGGTGTGGTTCTTGGCCTTGTCTTTAGCTCGTTCTGTGCTGATGGACATTGGATGGAATACAGCCTGAGGACGTCCACTGGGAAGAGTCTGTGGTTGCCAGAATCTGATCACTGAGAAGGCGCATGTAACCGAAGAAAAAAGAAAACAGCAAACTGAATAACTTGCCAAAATCATCATGCAATTTCTGGAGCACTCTGAAATGCCAAGGGAAGCTGGATCTCCTTCCTTTGCTTGATAGTTTTCTTAAATTACGGCTCAACTTCCTTTAAATCCCTATTAAGCAGCTTTGTTTTCCCCCAATTGATTTTTATACATTTGGAGAGGAGAAAATAGAGAAATAGCAGAACACCAGAGAGAAGTGAGGGTCTGTGATTAATAGATGCATACAGCAATGAAATGTCCGTCATTCATACCGCCTTTTCCCCTGGCGCTCAGGTTACACGGACTGAAACAGCGTTTGTCCATATTAGTGAGTTCCCAGTTTTTACCCTTCCTGTCTGCCTGCTGGTAAAGGAGAGAGGCCAGAGTGCTATGGCATGACGGTCAGTGGCACCCACCCTGCATTTCCATCGGCGGCTGCTGTCCGCGCCAAGCCTGAAAAAGGTGAGATGGCTGATATATACACTCTCACACACACAAGGCCATCAAAAATAAGTGAGAGGCCACCTCAGTCTGGATTGGTAAACTTTCAGAGACCAGAAATGTGAATTCAAGCACGTACCCCGAACTATGAAATACTTATAGCACTCTGGCCAATACACTCAAAAGCTTAAAGCGCTTAGTAAGTCACATTATCTCCCTTTGTAACACTGTAGCAGAAGAGAATACATAAAACTCATCAACAGTGATGACATGCTCGCAGTTGGCTCGCTCAGTGTCGATAGTAAAAATGTCACGAGTCGGGTGCGTATTTCATGCTTTTGATTTAAGCACGAGAAGAGTGTCCTGCCTGCAGGCAAACCCACACAAAACGGTAATTCACAGTCTTTGTGTAAATATTCTCTTTGGCTGTTGTCTTTCGGTTGCGCCTCAGTATGACTTTTCCAGAGGAAGGGTGACGTGCAGTCGTCATATAAGGCCTGTCTGGGCCTTCATTGTTTCAATACCTCATTTCAATTACACAAAAAAAAAAAACAGCTTCTCTTTCTTGAAATAAGCAGTTACAGTATATTACATATACTTACTTATTGCCATCATAAAACCTGCTAAACCTCCTAAAGAAGTGCTAAAATAAAAATTCAGAGCATATCTAGAGCCTCCACACTCTCAACATGGCGTCGGATGAGCCAGCGGCTAGAAGCTAATGGTGCTGCCAGCACCATCAATGCAAACAATGCTGACGGGTGGCCACTCTTCGGCGACACGTGCAGACGACAGCGGCAATCTGCAGCGTGTTAATGCGAAGCATTGGGCTTGTATCTATCTCCAATGTCAACACAACCCCGTCCTTATTACAACCTCAGAGCAACTGACTTAGAATAAAGGCAGGTGGGAGGCGAGGTGGGAGGTCAAACAATCACAGGACAGCGTACGGTATACTGACACGCCACGTCCAATAGTTGAAAAGAAAAGAATGTGTTGATTTAGTTTGCTGCTAAATTAACGCTCTGAATACCTTTAAACTAAAAGGGTAACTTAACTATTTATTTATATAGCAGCTTCTTATATTAATGTGATCCCAACTACAATCACCACATATTGTGTGAATGTGTTGTATTTGAGTTTACGTTAACACTTTGTGGTCTTTTGTAAATTGTTATGTCACTCTCTGGAGTTACAGCAGACAAAGTCTCAGTCTAGTTTCTGTTGACTTTGAAGTGAAGCCCAGCAGACAAACTCAGCCGTCAATCACGCTTTAATTACTTAAAACATAACGACATCAGTCACCTTTGTCTTGGCGGATGACAAGCTGCCAGCTAAAGGAAACCTGATCTAGTATTGACAGACGTAAATACATTTTATAACCGTGTACAGGTTCTAAGTCCGGGTCACAGCCTGAAAACTGTGAAGTCAACAACTTATCATTGGTTTATCTGTTCAATCCTTAAAAAGATGTCAAGACAACTTTGGTTTAGCCATGAAAGTAAGAATTAAATGAAATCAAAAAGAGGAAAGCAGAAAGTGACGAGTAAATGTAAAAGCTTGTGGTTCAGAATTGATGTTTTACAGCAAATGGAAACACTTAAACGCATCACCAATTAGTAGAAAGCAATTATGACCTCAAAAACACATTTTCTACTCATTTCTAATAAATGAGAATGCATTTCAAATCAAGCAAGTTGAGAGGTCAGAGGCTTGTGTGCACTGATTGGAATTACCATTGTTCTCAAACTTATTTTTCATAGATAGAAAATCAGCTTTTTTGCAACATTCAACCAAAATGTGTAATGCACTTGGATGTATCAATATCTCCTTTTTCAAATCCTGCTCATCAAGATGAATCCTGAGGTCAAATGAGGGCTGGGGTCTGAGAACATTCAAATCCGTGGCCCCTCTTTCAACCTCTGAGGACCTATAGCTGCTGCTGCAGAGGAAGAACTAATCAACATTTCCCCTAATTAAGCCACACTTCATCAACACTAATTCCAAACGGAGTGATCAAACTATGTTTGCAGTGTTTTGTTTTGGAAACCTTACGGTGGCCTTTTGATGGGAATCACAGGTCTGTCCTGGTCAGGCAGCTGCTGGAGAGATCATCGTCTGCGTTTGCATGGCACCCGCTGAGAAGCCGAGCGCCATGGGAGAGCTCTCCCAGATAAATTTCCATAAATATGAGTGATGTGCCCCTTTTCCACTTTGGTGTAGGTCCCTAAGGGAGGATGTGGGGATAAGAGTGCGTACGCCGTAACATCCGCAGACCAATAAGTTATCTGCAAATGTGTTTCTGGATTTACTGAGATTTGTTTTTGCAGTTAAGTTGCAAAGATCAACATTTTTAATGAGGACATTATTTGACCCCGTGACTGGTAACAGCTTCCTCATGAAAAAAAGACATGGCTGGATGTGTTAAAGAGATAATTACTTGTACAAATTACTTCTAGCATGTGGTGTCTTACTATGCGCATACCATTTCAAATAATCAGTCACTCTAAATCAATCAACTGTAAAATAATGACTGCAAATTTAACAACCAGGTAAATAATTGAATCACTCTTATGAAAAACATTTCCCCAAATTTTGGTCCTCCACAAGCTTCAGTAATTACCACATTTTCAGTCTTTCTTTATTTCCTCCTAACAGTAATTAAAAACTATATAATGACAATATTACACTTACATATGAAAGCTTGGTACTGAAATAGGAACACTATATTTCAAAATCATGAAAAAAAGAGAGAGCAGCTGTCCTGGTTTAAATAAATATAAAATAAAATGGGCTTTATATGTTTCAACAAGAACCTCAGCTCACAAACGTCATGTCACCCCATACCCATTGCAGTCTTTACAGATGTTTTCCCCCTTTAGGAATAGTAAGGTCAAAGGGCAAGACCTCCAGTGCATGTGATGGTTTATATACGGACTAAGCCCAGCATAAATCAATTCCTCAGACATAAAAAAGCATTTAAGTTGATTTTGGGGATATTGTTCTTTCAAAGGCAATTTGCAGTTCTGTGCTCACCCAGATCTTCAAGCATCTATTATCCCTCCCCTTCATCGCTTCAACGCACACACTGTAAGTTCAACTGTGCTCGGGACAGTAAATCAAACTCCTCTGAGGAAACCATTTATAAAAGCCTGACGTCCGGCTTCCTATTTCTGATTGCTGATTACACCTCAGAGTTTCTGAATACAGCTTTGCTTGTCACCTCGGGACCAGCGAAGGACAAGATTAAGAAACCTCCAAGCTGTAAATTAACCACATACATTATCTATGGCCCCAAATTTGATCCGCTGATCACGTCTCCTCTTCGCAGCAGCCCGAAGGGAGGCCTCCAACCTGGACATGATGAAAGAGAAGAGAAAGCTCTTAATGACTTTAACAGCGTACTGAATCCCTGCCTGGTCTTATATTAAATCACTTCTTATATTTCTTACAGCTGGCTAAACTTTGCATGTCAACTCAGACAGAAGTCACAAACCAATGCCGAACAAAAACACGGATTATACCTCAAAATAAGTCAACATTAGTGCATCACTGTGCGCATGAATGGACACATTAATATCGTTATAATACCTTATTTCGATAACACGGCGGACAAAACTGCATATAGCTATTACTTTAATATGGTGGCCTTTCAGAGGTCAACTTTTAAGCGTGACATGCAAAGAACAAAAAACAATAGTCCTGAGGCTGTTTTAAGACTTAGGATCTGCAAATGACGTGTATCGATGGCAGCATAAATCAGATTGATTTAATTTTAATAGCGACATCTCCTCCTCTCACAAAGTTAAAGATGAATCCACATGCTCAAAAGTGTCCCTTTGTGTAGACAGGTCAGGGAACATAGCTGAGACAAGATAAAGCGGAACTATTACTTCATTTAAAAACGTATCCCAGAGAGTTTTACTATCTGTAATCCAGAAAGTAATAATGTGTTTATTTTAAAAGCAAAAAAGTAGGGAAACAAATCGCATGTGTTCCTATGTTTCCATAAATTGCATTATGAGACTCAAAGAGGATTAAAAGTAGTAGCACAATATTAATCATCTGTTTTTTGTGTAAATTAGTACCCAACACATTTAATTTCTATTTTGCAATTTCACCGCACTATTGCTTACTTCTATTTTTATCATAACTATTCATAAAACCCTTTTTTGTGTTGGAAATCATATTTTTCTTAATTTTCAAGCACAGGTCATTTAATTAAATCATTGTTTGATATAACATTGCTAAACGTTGCAGGTTTGCCGTCTTAGTTCGTCAAAGTTATTTCTTCCTCCGCTCTGACATAGCTTCGCGTCTCATCCACGCCCTACTCCGAACATGATGTAAAAAAAATAGGTAAAAGGCCTCTTTCATCAGTAATTGATAGGTGCTTGTTTTGGTTCAGTGGCGTTGTGTCACTCTTGCCACTATGCGTTAGGAATATATCAGAGCTGGAGTAGTGTGAGAAGGTGGGGAGATGGTGGAAACAAGTGTGTCATGAGCAGAGAGAGTGGCACATACGCCATGCTTGTCAGGATGACTAATAGCCCAGGGCAACAGGTCTCGCTGTGGGGTGTTAACAATCAGGTTGTAGCCTGACAGCCAGCCACATGACTTGAATACAAGTTGGTCACCTGCACTTTGTATCTTAAAAGGACCTTTGTCTCAACCAGCTTTAACTAACTGCTTTCACCTTTTTCATGGTAAAAGTTAACATTGTTACCAGGTGTTAAAATTGCTTAATTCCTCAACATACAAGTTTATTTAACGTTAATAACAATAACTGAAATTGGCTTTTGAAACTATTCACCAACACGAAATGAAAGACATTTGTATTAACGCTTCAGATCAAAACACATGGATCATTTAGCCTTTAGTCTGAAACTGATAATCTTTATTGGACAAGTCAGCTCAGACGGCAGTTCATCAATTCAGAGTGACATTTACACTCCCACTGACCCATAGGGGGGTAAGAGAAGAAGAGAAAACCTGCCTGCTCAACACACTGTGCAACAGTATCCCAAAAAACTTCATGGTAGTAATCGCGATACAGTAGCCAGCTGATTCAGATGTATTACATGATTATGTATTATGTTTAATCTTGTCATTGGAGCTTTTGGGCCATTATACCGAGGGTTGTGTGATATATTGTATAGTATAGTTCGATAATTAAGCAATATATTAAATGCAAAAAATGTCTTGCCCTGTAATTACCTTGTAATATTAGACTGGGTGAAACAACTGACAGCCACCGGTTGGACCACTTTGTTAGATGCCTTTGTGAAAAATAAGAAGCTCGTCTGTTGGCCAGCTTCCTGTAGAGGGTGAATTCCCTTTCAATGAATACTTAGTCTTCACTTCCCCGAACTTGTTAACTGTCAACGTGCACAAGTAAAAAGACATCTCGACAAAGAAAATAAATAAATACCTTTACGACTCGATGTGCGGCACGATCTCCTAAAAATAAACCTTGGAAAACACACCTATTTTAGCTCTGATTTACCTCGCTTCTTTTTTTAAACTCTCCATATCGAAGTTGGTTGGTGGAGGCCATAAGCGGAGTTGTTGCACGTACAGTATTTAGAATGGAGTGGACGCGTCAGCACTGTGCCGAGCAGCACTCGAGAGACCTGTTTTCTTCCAGACTGAGCAGCAGTACATGCTGCCATTACACAGTACATTTGACATTATATACAGCTGGTCATGTGCATCCAATAGCCCACATGTTGACAGGGAAAGATTTGAACAGTTGTCCACACGAAAAAACGAATACAAAATGTAATACTATATTAAAAAGCTTTAAGATGATGTATGGAACTATTTTAAGTTTCAGTAATATCTACTCATTTTTGAGTACCTTCAACAGATCTTCATATCCTCAGGTTTGCTGTTGTTTTAGTATCTATTGTGAAATAATGGATGCACCTGAACATGCTGTACAGATGCAGGTTTACAGAGTAGGTTGTATCACTATCTATGACAAAGAATTAAGAGAGATCTTGTTTTGCCTACTGTCCAGAAGGCTCAATATAAAATGAATACAGCTCTGCTCCACAGTCGCACACAAATGACTCCTGGTTTCCGACACTGTTGACGTCTCTTCCAATTCTGCCCGTTCATTTGCACATCAGTGTATAACGGTAGAGCTCAGGTTTGTTAAAAACAGTGTTAACAGCCAATTAGTCATGAGTTGAGGTGGCGGACTTTATGTTGCCCTGGAAGACAGGCGTTTTTTTCAGCGGAATTTTATTTTCCAGGTGTGTTAAGCCGTTTTTATAAGGTGTGGGCAGACAGTCGTGCCCACCCTGCAAACAGTTATGTAGAATGTGTCGGGACAATAAAAAAAGGACCACCAGAAATTTGTTGTGGGATTGAATTGACTTCTATTCAAAAGAGAATCCGCCCGATGAGTGCTGGTCTGCCAGTTCAGTTCATAAAATAGGTGTTGCTGTTTTAAAATGTAAATGTGTAACATATCATACTATGACATAACACAAAATATGCCAGTTTCAGTGTGGTCACCTTGCGCTCCTTGTTTTTGGCTCTTAATTTAACGTTTGTTTTGAGCAAATTGGTTTGCACCTATCCTACCAAAATTAAACATGACGAGTTGACTTTTATGTCATGCTACTTCGCATCGATTTATATCCGTCCATATGATTTAATCACATTTTTTCAATTTGTGCAAACACAAACCTGAAAGAAAACATTGGAAGTTCGAAAAAGTCAAATTGATGGCATAATAGCTTTTATGCTTTTCCGCTGACGTGGAAAATATGGTGTATCTAAAAGAACGTAATGCGAGAAAGGGCAATGACGAGACAAAACATGTCATGACACATGTGTGGACTGATAAGAAGACTCAAAAGAATACACAATACTCACCAACTGCTTTCTTTTCCACCTCCAAATATACACACAACAGTAATGAAAGGAAATGCGCATTGATTTACATATACCTGTATTTTGTATGGTTGTACATTTCCTGATTGTGCTTTTAACACATGTAGCAAGTGACTTGTACTTGACTCAAATCTGGCATAAAGCCATATGTTAAAATCTAAATAATATGTGTATCATATTTCTCCCAAGGCAGTTGTTTTTGTGAGTCATGCAGTAATCTGAGGGGAATATTTTTCCTCCAATCCAGAGATGTGACTGCCTGAGGTCTTGGCAAAGTCCTGCACAGTCCGGGAAAAACTCCACTGAGCACTTGTGATTAAGTGTCTTTATTTAAGCCCATGAACTCAAACGAGCAATCAGAGCCAAACCGAGGCTCCAAACTTCCTCAAAATCATGCTGCTGGAAGCACTGAAGAGTGTTACTGACCCGACTATCATCATTTATCGCCTGTCAGCTGGTACTCCACATTATACTTTAGTTGTTAGATTCACAAATGTTACAAACGTTGCAATTAAACAAAACACATTTAAGTTTTTCCTTTGAGGTAATATTGCCATCATTTTTTTTTTCAGAGCAAGGCAATACTTCGACATTTGACTGACTATACAACATTTTGTTACATCATTGCAGCACACTGACAAAGGAATTATGCATAATTATGTGCATGTCTTTTACTGGTATATAGTGTTTTCCTCTAAACAGACAGATCTGGGACATTCTGTCCCTTGGCCTCAATCCAGACGTCTGCAATGGCCTCATTTCATTGTTCTGATGTGCTGTCATGGCTGAAGCTCTGTGTATATTCAAAATAGTTCATGCATGTATACAAAATAGCATAACCTTTTGATTTATCCTGATTATTTAAATCTGCAGTACTTTAGGACTTCAGCAGCTGGTGCTTTTAGAATAAAGAGAGAAAAGTAATCAGAACAGGTTGAGAGATACTGCATGTTTGGGTGATAAAGCATGTTTTTCTTTCTGTGGTTTTTATGAATGAGTTCATGTTCCTGTGTGCTGGCAGTCCGGTCTTGTCTCTGCCTGTTTGCCAGTGAAATTCCCACATTCTCTCTGTCTTGCTCACATCACTCGCTCTGATGAGCAGATAATGTCAAGGAAGTTGGATCATGGAAGTGTTTTTATTTAGTCTTCTCAAAAAGATCCTATAATCTGCTATGTGATAGAAACAAACACAACACTGCTGCCTCGTGATTTAACAACCAAATGCTTTCATTTGTTGCATTATTCTGAATAAACCACTAAATGCTCCATTGAACTGTGTATATTATGATAAGCGCTGAACAAACAAAGCTCAAGTGTGATTAAAGGGATGTGATTTTATCCGCCTGTGTAAGACACCAGCTGGGTGTGAGGACGTGTGCTGGTGTGCAGACATGTTGAAATACTAATTTTAGAAACATTTGAAAGGAGGATGAGGTCAGAATTTTACTACATTAAACACAAAACACACCTCAGAGGGATTCAGTGGGACTAACTTTTGAGACATGGTCTGGGTGATCAGTTCAGATGTTGAGGCAAGACCTGAAAAAACACCAGGAAACACTGGGCCACTGGTAAGCTTTTGGTTGAATTTATATAATAAAAAAGGTTTTGAAAAAACTTGATTAATATAAAATAGGAGGGCGGATTTATACAGAATACATACTTGCACATTGAGGCAGTAGTACAGGTTTTAAAGGACTCAAAACCTTTTTTAGATGTTTTATTGTGTAGGAAATACATTGAATGTTTTTAAATTAGATTAAAGGTGCATACAAAAAGATGGGAGAATTTTGATTGACTCTCTACGGCTCTCAACATGGCGGCAGCCGAGACGGCGGCTTGTGGCAAATAGCGCTAACGGCGCAAACTGCGTGCTGACAGAGCTAACAGTGTTTACCAGAGGGAAAACCGGAGGGCAAGTGATATGTCTCCACCATAAAGCTAGTGGTCGGGACGCCGTCATGAGCTGTAACCGCCATATGACAGCGGTGCAGAGCTGCAACCTTGACCTAGCCAGAGGGGCATAAATATGCAGTAAAAGCACACGCATCCGCACAAAGCGAGAAGAAGCTCGGATAACGACACACACAGAGGAAAAGCGACTTCATTCTCTGCTCGGGTAGACATTACTCCACTATATCTTTACAAAGCAAATAGTTGTTTGCTGCTATATTAATGTGCTGAATGTAGTATATTGCTCTTTTAAGCCATAAGAATACAAAAAGATTAAGAGAGCAACAAAAAATCGAAACAAAACAATGTGATCTCATGGTCGACTTACTGCCCTTTTCACTGGACTTTTCACTGGACCTTCTGCCACGCCCTTCATCAACAGATGAAGTTGCTCAGTTGCGAGAAGGACGTGTTCACATGCACGCTGATCCACGCCTGTTCTAGGACGTCTCTTCTGTGTTGGCTCACAAGTTAAGCTTGAAAGTTCATTCTTGACCTTGAAAATATTAGTTTGGCAAAACATCCCAAACTCAAGGTCCACTTGTGTCTTTTTCAGGATTTGACATATTTCATCAGGAAAATATTACAAATGTTTTAAAGGGTAGCAAATCAATTGAATGCGACGAGAATATCAAACAATTCTGTGAAATGATTGCAGTACTAAGGGCCCGGAAACAACAACAAAAATATAAAATATATACATTTGAACTTTTTGGTTTCTGATATTTTCTCAAAAGAGAAATAAGGACGAGTGGTTTACAGAGCAGATTAAAATCATAATTAATTATTTGTTGGCTTTATTCAAATGTCAATGATCTTAATCACCAGATCTGTCAGTCAGCTTTGACAGACAGAACATTTCAGACATGTCTACGGGCATGATGTGAATGGGTACATGATTGTACATGAGAGCACAGCCAGGCATCTTAATCCTCTTGTTGATGAACTATTCAGTCAACAGCTGGAAGCTCTGGGGATGCTCCTCTGTGTTTTTGATAGATCTGCATTTACATGTGTTTTTATGTGTGTGTGTCCTGCCAGTATACTATTTCTGAAAGAGTGCGTGTCACAGCAGGTTCAGACGGCCAACACACTAACCTGTTTAACTCACTCGGCGTCTGGGCCACTGATGGGGGCCCTTTACTGCTCCTGGCATGGTCCAGCCCCTAAAACAAGCTCCCGGGCTGCGGCAGCGGTTAGGACCCAAACCAAGCCTCCATTCACCTCATCGACCCAGCTGTTTATTTTCAGAGGCATTAGAGGAAACACTCGACAGGGCTTATCAGATCCAAACAGTCGCACGTCTTTGTTATTTTACACACAGGCCTCCTCTCAACTCTGCCTCATTTTCAGTAATTGTTTTCTTTCTTGCTTGGTAGAATAACACGGAGGGCTACATTTAACACAAGTGGTAAGGGAATCCGTCAGTGTAAACAAGGCAGATACAATGCACACTGGGATTTTATCTGAGCCTTTTCTGTTATTCTATGTTTTTTAAGGGCAGGGCCGGAGCAAATATTGGAGTGTACGTGTGTTAAAGTGAAATTGGTGAAATGAAATACAGGCTGCTTGACGCGGAGTCTTCAACCTCCCATACAGACTTCTGTTTTTCTCAATTACTGCTTCACTAAACATCGGACCCACTCAGGGCCACATACTGGACCTCTAGTGATACTGGACTCATATGCATTAGGGTGAAAAGTTTACATCTAACTCCTTAATTTCATCTTCTTTAAGCAAACTATCGTCATCTCACAGCAGAACAGAACTTCTTTACTTTTCAAAAATGCCAAAAAGTATGTTGTGATGCTAAAGAAAGGGGAGTTGTTGTGACACTGTAGTACACATGTTCAACATGGTGGCAGTGTTGCACTGCCTGTGGGACACCTAAGGCCCTCCGTGCCACCCAGTACCAAGCAGCTGCAGACAGTGCTGCTGATTATGAAGCATCCATGGGGATGGACAGACTGATTTGACCAAATTGTGACGCACAGTGCTCTGCACGTCAGGTTAATTGTGCTGCTGATTGGGATGTCGATGCATGGACAATACACATAATACCGAGTGTGCTGTATCATGTGAGAGCTAATCATTTCACCATATCAAAAGAGACAGCCTTGGTAGAGAAATCAGAGAGTTTTCAGTTAGCAGGAAATGTTTGCAGTCACACATGACTGACAACACGACCTCTGTTCAGCTGCAAAGTCCCCAGACAAGCCAACGTTACAGCCGAATATCAAGGCAATCATCATCCAAATCCCCCAGTCGACCTCCTCGCGCTGCCAGCCGGAGCTCTCGTGGATGGGCCGAGCTCCACTCTGCCAACTGCGCTATAAAATAAACACACAGTAAATCCAGCACGATTAACATTAATCATGATCACGTCACTGCTAATGCACTGACTGAGGGCCATACAGTGAAATCACAGTGACCTAGACCCTTGTCTACTAGTGAGGAGGGGGTTGGCACAGACAGGGGGACCTTCAAGAACTACTCTGTGATAACGATTAAAAATTTCATTACATTTATAGTGTAGTAGTGTTGTGAATGAGTTTCAGACCACGAATGACGTGACCCAAAATGCACAAATCAACATAGGTGTTAGACACGGTAAACTTTACTTTATTCGTGCGACCCCTGTATCTGGAGGGAGCACTGCTTTGAAAACATGCAACTTTTGGGAAAGACATTCATTTAAAAGGCTCTTTTCAACTGTGGCAGTGCCAGACACAGTTTGACTAAAAGGTCCCACTAGGCTTGTAACTTATTGTCAAGGATTGGATTTCAGCTAAAATTAGCCATCAGACCCAATTTATTACTCTGATTGAGGAGTCTGAAAACGCCAGTAACGGGCTCCCCATTACATAAGCTAAGCCCTGAGTTGAAGATATCATGTTGCAATTTAATTCAACCCATATCACTTGTGAGGCAAATGTGTAAAGTGTAGTAGTAATAGTAGCTTAGGTTTCCCCAAAGTATTGAACTGGCCTGAGAGAGGCTTGGAAAAACAGCAAAATCCCTTACCAACTTTATGGAGGTGGCCGAACAAGCGTCTTTCCTTCGGTGACTTGACTTATTAAACACGCTGGAGACTGTGAGTTATGAAACGGTAGACCAAACTCAAACTGGCACATTATAGCTCAGTTGGTTTGAGAACAAAATGCACCACAGTTTGTGAGCAGCAAACAAGATCAGCTAGAGCTAGGGCACCCCTGTCATTCATGATCTTAATTCAAAATAGTGCAGTCCTAACACAGTGAATTTAACTAAAATGCGTTTAGGTTACAATTACAGATCGATAGATAGACAGATAGTTCACAAAAGTCACAACTAGACATATTAATACACATGCTTAACAACAACTCAAATGGGGTCAGTGAAATAGAGACATTTATTATGCTATCATAGCCATTTATGAGGCCTGTCGCATCAGTCTACCGCCATAAATCATTTAAATATCTGTGGAACAGAGTGCACAGTTCTCCGAGCCGTAAAAGACCTCTTTTACATGTATAATTTATCCTGTTTTATTGCAAATTCTTTATCATTGTACTGATCCGTCTTTGAATGAACAGTGGCAACAGTGTTTCTCCAGAGGTTTGCACACAAGCTCGGCTGAAGACAAATGTCCTTTTGAGTGAAAAGTCGTTTGCTCCTCACTGTTTAAACACAGGTGTTGATTCTGGTGAAAATGACTGCAGCTATACTGCATCCCACCCTTTGCTCTTTTAAATATGAAACAGGCCAAATGGCTCCTCTGATGAGTACACTTAGGCAGAACCTGCGGACACTCCATCAATTACTATTATCAGGGATTATTTGACATCCCCCACACCAACACACACATACACTCCCTTTCGAGTTTTTCAACCTACTACGAGCGGTAGAAGATCATAAAAGTTTTCAGTTTGAATAGCTGTGCTGCTTGTAAGTGTGTACCGGCTCTGCTGCCAGGAAACACTCTGTCCTGCCACACTGCTTCAGTACATGGAGACAGGCACTGCCCTGGCTCTGGACACGTACAAGAATATGGGCCAGACACCCCTTTCTCCTAATGTCACGTACTCTTCCCAAGCGGGATGTTTGTCGCTATGCTGCGCAGAGTTGAGAGAGAGAGAGAGAGAGAGACTAGTTTCCAGCCTCCCGTATCCTTCGTATGTCAAGGACGCACATACATATTGCTGTAGAAGCAGGCGCCGATAACATGTTAACAGCGTTCTGTGCTTTCTTTCTGGTTAGATTATCTGAATACGTTTTCCTTCCCAGGGTGCAGTATGGATTCCTGCGTCTGTGGTTGGCACAAATGCATGTCTCGTGGCACAGCTTCTGGCTTGTGGCACTGGCATCCTTCGAGCCCACACCCAGTGCCATGCTGCACTCTCTTCCCCACTGACATCCTTCACTCTGACCAGAGACTGTAAACACCACTGGAATGGACCACACACACACACTCCCAGTGTCTGAATGAGCTGCTTTGGTGCAGGAGCATGCGTGAAGGAAAACACATGATGGAGCTTAAGGCCCAATCAGTAACTTTAGCATTTTTTCACCATAGAAATTACAGATGAATTCACATCAATTTCAAGGGTTTGATATGTAGAAACAGTCATTTTGTGTGTTTCTCATACAATCATATTTCAAAATACAGATCAGTTTCAAACTTCTGTTTACAAACATCACTGATGTAAACAAACATTTTGGAAGCTCTGTTGCTTCAGCTAAATTTATATTAACAGCATTAAAGAATTACTGGAGGAAATCCTGCCACTAAACCTTTTTATCTGTAAATGTATTTGTCAAGTAATTTTTACAGTAATTAATTGAAAAGTAAAAATGATTGCATTAACTGTGAAACAGTGTGAAACAAGATCTTCAAGAAATACTTATTTTATTTGAATACACAACATTTCCCCAAAGTTTGTCAAAATAAAATCATCAAGATGTGAAATGTGTTTTTTGTTTTTATTTAACTATTAATAAAAATACAGTGTTTTTTTTATCCAACAAATCAGGGTCACAATAAGCAGCGGCACATTAAACAAAATTCACAACAATACAAAAGAAGCAAATTTAAGAATTGCCTTTTAAACAAAGACGTTCCAGCTATTGAGTCTACCGACAGACAATGCAGGCCAGCCAACTTTAGCATACAGGCAGCCACGGTGACTGAGGGTCTTCAGATTTATAATGATCTGCAATGCTCCATGAAGTGCATTGAGCAGATGCATGCAAATGCAAAACCTGTCAATCACAGGCATGAAAGTGCAGCAACAAGTCAAAAGACAAGCAAGACTTATTTCTGAAATAAAAACCTCAGCTTCGACCTTTTCAGAAGTTGCTGAATATGAGGCTTAAAAGAAAGAGAATCATCGTTTAAGATTCCAATCTATTTATATGAAGATACAGATATTCTCCTTCAAAATAAAAATAGATGAAATTTGATTTCATCAGTTACTATTTCCATTTTGTAAACTGCAGCGACAGGTGTCATCTTGCAGCAGGACACAAAACACCTTCTGAAGCATGGGAACAAAATCTGGTGAAACTGGACCTCCTTATTCAATTCTTGGACTTAAGAAACAAACACAAGAACATGAATTTCAACATCAGATATAAAGACATAAGTACAGTAAATGTTAAATGATATCCTAACTGGCATTGGTGTAAATTGGAATAGATGTCACAGTGATGCAATAGGTGAGTCGCTGTAGGAAGTGGTCTGTTTGTACTGCACGACAAATGTGTACTTTGCAGGCCTCTGCGGGTTAGAGCCGCGTGTATATAATGGCCAAGCTGTACAGTAGCTGACCACTCGGTGACAGATCCCAGTTGACAGGTGGGACCACAACACTTCTTCTAAATGCCCAGAGGTCAGAGCCTCATTTGTCATGCCTCTTAGGCACTTTAACAGACACTGAATTTATAGTGCAAACAGGTATCTTGTGGTTCCTGTGAAAATGTAGAAAACCTACACTGACACTAAATACTGCACTGCCCTTTCTTGATCACAGCAACTTCTGACAGGGACAAGACTTATCTGCTTGGAGTGTTTTAAGCACCTTATTAGTTGAAAGCCCAAGGCACCAATCAGTCACTGAAACAGAGTTTTCCGAGTTCATCCCACCACGAGCGTCGCAGACTTAAAACATACTTGAAAATACTCTCCAAGCACCGAGTCATCCTGTCCACGAGATTTACAACCCCAGGTGAGGCTGGCGGACAGGGACCTATACGGGAGGGTGCTGTTTGTGCTATCTTTCCTGCTTTTTTCCCCTCTCAGCTGCAAAAAGTGGGGTCAAGTTGTTCCCCTGCACTTCATTTGAGTGAGGGTGAGGCAGGCGACAGAGCTCTCTGTCAATGAGCAACAAGTATCCCTGGCAGCTGACATTCATGGGTCCCGATAGGCTGCCATCATGCCCTCCAGATGACTCCATTGATTTATATTGGAACTCTGCGGTCAGACTGGTTTTACTGGTGTAGCTGCATCAGTGCCCTTTGTACTGAAGCTTACGTCAAAAGCGCAACATACAGTAAACAGCTCTGCCAATCCGTCTAAATATTAGAAGGAGGAATGAAAGAGGGATCAAAAAAAAAACATGGCCGTGACTCAAAAGACCTTTCACATGGGTAGAGGCAGACTGCATCTCGCTCTCATAGCTCGGAGGGAGTCGCCAAGCTGCGTGTGTTTTCTCACCAGTTTTAAATAAACAAGCCAAACTCAAGATTTAATGAACAGGAAAAGCAGGCTGATGAGAGAAATCAATTTATTTAAGGACTGATGCCACATGATAAACAGTGAGCTCTTAGCGTCACTTATTTTGCATTTCTGGAAGTGCAAACGACTGCACGGTTGCCAAGAAATACATAACACATTTATAATAGCCGGTGAATTTGGCAGTGTAAACGTAATTTAAAGAAATTATTCTAACGATACTATTGTGGCGCAGCTACGGAATCTAACACAGTTCGGGAGATTATGGCACAAGGCTGTGAAAGAACTCGTGTGAGGTCATATAAGCTGAACCAAGGTGAATCCCCCTCATCCGCCAAAGCAACATTTGCATGATAGCCACATAATTACACAGGTCAACATCAATACACATCCACCCAACCAAAATGCAAACTGCTATCTTCGCGATCTGTTGACTTTGTGAGCAAATGAGATGAGCAAATGTTAAAATGTCTTAAGAAGAACTGAGCAGTTAGTGTGCAAACATGTACAAACAGCTGTGAATACAGCATGTTTTTCTATATGAGCTGAGAAAAAGATCTTTGTGTGAGAGTTGAAATACAAGTCACACTGGGCACTGAATCCATGAATCCTTAAAGC